CCAAGGAGACCAGTTGTTGGAGGGATTTGTAAGAACCAAGGAGACCAGTTGTTGGAGGGATTTGTAAGAACCAAGGAGACCAGTTGTTGGAGGGATTTGTAAGAACCAAGGAGACCAGTTGTTGGAGGTTTTGTAAGTCCTGAATAGACCAGTTGTTGGAGGTTTTGAGGACATAAGGACACCAGTTCTTGGTGGTTTTGTAGGACCTGAAGAGACTAGTTGTTGAAGGGGACCTGAGGTGACCAGTTGTTTTGAGGTTTTAAGGGGCGTGAGGAAACCAGTTGTTGGTGGTTTTGGAGGACCTCTTGGGGGTTTTGGTTATGCGAGGAGACTAATTGTTGGAGGTTTTGTGTTACCTAAGGACCAGGAGGAGACCAATTGTTGGTGGTTTTGGAGGACTTTTCAGACTTTTTAGCAGAAATTATGCCAAAATACGACTGAGTTCTTATTGTTGTGTTTATGATGTTTTTTTTATTCTGTTGAAGCAGGGTTGAAAAACAATGTCTGAATTTCATTTGTTCATTTTTATAGAATTTTTATTTATTACTACTTTTGTCAAATTCAAGTTATTTCTGTGACCATTCTGGGTTTTTCTTTCATTAAACGAGGGTTAAGAACAAGTCTTTTTTTAAAAACCCAGTCCTGTTTTTTATTCATACTTGGCTCACTCTCTAGTTTTTATTTGTTGCTGCTATCAAATAACCTTTTTTTAGTTCATCACTGCTGTAAGGTGCTAGAAAATGATTTTCTCAGTCATCTTCGAAGTCATTGTGTTTGGTTTTTGGAAGAGTTTAAGTAAATGTACATCCTTTCTCTGTGCTGTTGGTTCTCTCAGTCAAGTTCAAGTTYATGTTATCTTTAATATCCTCATGGGGCAATTTATGTCACAGCCAGCAGGAACAAAAACAATCATCAACCACAAATACAGTAAAAAACAACAACATAAAAACCATCATGGTATAGGCGTAAAAACTACAAACACACAACAATCAACAAGAAGTATTTAAAATGACAATAACAGCAGGTAAAAAGGAATTCTTAAATCTGTTGGTTCGACATCTTTTTACTGCAAATCTGCGTCCTGATGGTAAAAGAGAAAACTCTGTGAAGAGGGGCTGGTTAGGCTCAGCTAAAATTGCCTGAGTTTTCTTAAAAGATCTGTTGCTATGGAGAGCAGTGATGTCATTTAATGGGATTTTTGCAAGTTTTCTGCAAAGACTGACAATATGGTGTATGCGTTTTTTGTTYTTCTGTGTCAAAAGCCCATAGCAGCAGATAAAAGAAAAAGAACAGATTCAATAAAACATTTTCATAAAACTACTGTCCATGTTAAAACTCCTTCATTTCTGATAAAAGTGCACACGTTGGTGGGCTTTCTTGCATACAGTGTCCACATGTTTTTCAAAAGAGAGTTTGTTGTCAATTACAGTACCCAAATATTTGTATTCCTCCACAACGTCAACTTATTGATCATTAATGTACACGGGAGAGATGGGATTTGTGTTTTTCCTGAAGTCAATAATCATTTCTTTGGTTTCATTGACGTTTATGTCTAGAAAGGATGACTTACACCAGTTAATAAACTGTGACACCACTGGGCCATGATCAGGGCCGACTGACTTTAAAAGAGACACAATGACAGAATTGTAGCAAACTTTAAAATATGCCATCCTGTGAACTGGCTCTGACACATGTTGGTGTGTAAAACAAATAAAAGGGGGACAGAACACAGCCCTGTGGAGAACCAGTGGAAGAGAGCAACACATCAGATAAATCATTGACTCTGACACGTTGAGATCTGGTAGTAAAAAAATCCATTAGCCAACATAAAAGACCTGATTCGATTTTATGTTTACTTTTTAAMCTGTCTACTAGAATATGTGGCTGTATGCAGTTAAAAGCAGAAGAAAAATCAATAAAAACAAGACGTGCAAAAGTATTAGCTGCTTCAAGGTGTGAAAGAACCAAGTTCAGTAAAGTGCATACAGCACCACCTACCCCTCTGCAGGGCCTGTAGGCAAACTGCAGTGGGTCCAAGGTTTTAACAGTAGTTAAGAGGGCCGTCTTAATTACTTTCTCAAGTGACTTCATGGTTCAGAGGCTAAATGAGAGCTGGGATCTCRTCTGATCTGTCTGTAAATGTTTTGTTAGCAGTGTCAATAATCAGGGGCTGCATCCTTCAAAGGCCGAAATTTGTCAGTCACTGAAGGCTGTCCTAGTTCAGAGACTCCTCTAATTGCGACCCATAAATGCGTCCTTTTGACCTCACTTGGGGGACAGGTCCAGTGGATTCTTCTTGATCTGCTAAAATAACATAATAATAAAAATATAATGCTTGGTGATTCACTGGGGTAGTGGTGGGACCAAAGCGGGAGTCTAGTCTGTCCAAATTCACAGCCAATTTCTTCCAGTCTTTGTGGTTAACAAAGGACCTGGTCCACCTAGACTGGGTAGGCCGGGTCCTTCGAAGGACGCAACTCCTGAATTTCAGCATAGCTGTTGTGTCGTCCATTTCTCAGTGTCATCACGTGAAGTGAGTTCTTCCTTTTCTGAATGTAACATGTTGTCTTTGTTTTTCTGTTTTTGTCAAATCAGAGAAAAGCTGAACCTGATCCAACCTAACAGCAACCAGTCCTCCTCTTCTTCCTGCTCTGCTCCTTCTTCTCCCTTCCACTTAGTCTCAGCTCCTGCCCGACCTGGAACCATASCGAGCCCCACCTACAGGTCTCAGAGTGGCGGCGTGAAGAAGGCGACAGGGGTCGGAGGCACCACCTATGAAATCTCAGTGTGAGCGGCAGCCGGGCTCCACTGAGTGGGAGAGTTGAGACCTTTGTTTTTGGACCTCAAACCAGATTGGTTGTTTGTATGTGGAGCTGAACTGAACCGAAATGAAACAAAACGAATAAACCGAACCATCCTCCAGGAGGAATAGATCATGACAACCTGTGGAAATAGAACCTAACAGTATTCTGTGGACTTTGTAAAGCTTAATGCAGTTGGAGCTGGCAGGAGGCTCAGCTCGGGGCTCGGCTCAGCTTGGGGCTCAGCTTGGGGCTCGGCTCGGGGCTCGGCTCGGCTCGGGGCTCGGCTCAGCTTGGGGCTCGGCTTGGGGCTCGGCTCTGCACGAGGCTGACGCCGACCTGGCGCTCAGTTCTCTTTGGACCAAATAAAAAATTACTCTGGAAGTTTTTCTGGTGTAATTTTCTGGTATTCATATAAGGTGCATTTAGATCCATTTTGCTATCTTTGACTGTCTAATTCATCGTCAGAATGTCTGATATCAACTATCAAATGCTGATGTTCCACCTCAAGGGTTTTCTTGGACACTCTGCCAAGTCTTTCAGAAACAGCAGCCACCAGTGTGGTGGGGTAACTACACACCAACAGGAGGATTGTTGCCACTTGTTGAATAATGCATGAATCTGTGACGCAGCCCACCAGTCTTTGGACCTGATGTCTGCCCCTCCTCCCTCCTTGAGGTCGCCCTCGTCTTGACGGAGTTTTAATCAAACGAAAACGTGTCAAAGCTGAGCTCTCCTCTGAATCCAGTGAGCAGGGAACTTTTCCATTCCTCTACTGATGTGATGTTGTAGAACAAGAAGTGATGAGTGCTTCTGTCTTTTCTTAATTCACTGACTTATTCCTTGGTGTAAATAGAAATTACATGTTTGTACAGGATAGTGTGGTTTTTAAATGTGGATTTCCTTTTTAAAATGTGTCATTCTTGGCAGATTGGAGCATGCACTGCAGCTGCTCACTGTTGGAACAAACAGAGCAAGCTAACTAAAGTCAATAAGAAAACAGGTTCTGGCTCCTGATAAAGATGGGATTTCTATAAAATGAGGTCTTTCAGTAAATTCGTTGAAAAATTCAGCTATTTTTATTTCTCTGTGTTTAAGATGTTTTATATGGAAGTTGTAGTTAGACATTACAGCTGAGAAGATGACAACTAGGTTTCTGATTAGCAGTGGTGGGCACCAGCCCGTTAAAGCGCAAATCCGCTAATTGTGGACCTAAATATTTCATTTGCATTTAGCAGTCTTACTAATTTTTATAATTCATAAGCAGATTTGCATTTTCTAAAATTAAAATGCAGTACCGCTAATAACTAATTATCTACCAGTCATCATTATGTTGAACAGCAGAAGGTATGGTTGTCAATGAATCACAACACATGATCTGTCCAACAGCACCCCTCCCAGATAAACACTTATTGTGAAGGTATACATCCTGCTGACTGTTGCTTTGGGTCACGGTTGTCATTTCCCACAATGCTTTGTGTCTGCTTACGTAGCAGGAAGGCAATGTTTAGAACTCCGTGTCCCAGCTAAAACGGTTAACGTTTGTAATCCATACTAAAAATTTTTATGTATTGATTTATTTTACTTTACAATCGGAGCTCCTTTTTTAAAAAAAAATAAAGTTTAAACGCTGGAGCTCAATACTTGACGTAATTGGTCGAAGCAATCCGCCAACGGGGTTAGAAATTATTTAAAGATGTTATGCTGATGAAGACTGACATCTAGTGGTCAACTGGAGCAACTACATGGAAAACTTTAAAATCCAAGCTCTTATTTTGAAGTTTGCGGATAGTTTCCTGTACTCCGTGCTTTCGTTTCCCGTCACAAATCAAATCCGTCATGTACCCAGAATGCATCGCTTCAGTTTTCCAATAAACAGTTTTAAAATTACTTTATTGATGCTTCATTAATGAAAAATCTACAACAAACAAAAGAAAAAGACAAAGAAGCAGCCGAACTAGCAATCCTCAACAACTTTTTAATTTTTACACCAGGAGCTAAAGGTCTGTTTCAGGAAATCACATCCCCAGCTATCAGCGGTTGTAGGATTAAACTGTAAAAGAGTTCAAACACCACTAGTCAGCAGTGTTGTACATCTATTGTACATGAATTGTTGTCAGCTATTAAGTGTCAAATTGAACTTGAGCTTTAAAATTAGCTTCTGCTAGTTTTTCTACGGCATAAGCACTTTTGAAGTTGCGGATCTAAATATTTTCATAAGCGCTTTAAAAATTGCGGAGCTAATTTTTGGTTTAGCGCTGTCCACCACTGCTGATTGGCTAATAGCTCACAGCTGCCCTGTTGTTCCCTTTAAACAGAATCAGACTTTTGTGCGTTTAATGTGAATATTGAAGGAAAGTGGTTGAAATTTTGCAATAACTTTTGAATCTACTGTTAAAAACAGATCTGTGTTTCAATCATAAGATTGAATTTGTGAAGAACATTTACCAGAAGTTCAAATTGTATTTCAGATAGAAATATCAGTTCAACACCTGTCTGAAAAAAAATATATACAAAATGTGGACAACCTGATTTGATATTGATTGTGTCAGCATTTTTTGGTTGTCTGGATTCATGTAAAGCTACCTAAATTATAAAATGTTCTGACTTGACTTCACAGCATTCTGAAGAATAAAACAAACAAAAACACATCAGCAAACGAAAGACGGTTTGTTTTTAACAAGAATAACATCTGTGCAGGTTTAAAGTTTAAGGGTTATTATGTGAAGTCCGAAAGATTTTAAACCTTTTCATGGTGAAAACTGGCTTTCTTTTCATCCTGATGATGTAATAAGTGCCTGTAACCTGGTACATAAAACAAGTTTGATTGTGACCCTGAACTGTTCCTGGTTTGGTTCAAGTTTTTTTATTCACATGCCTACTTCTGCTGGAGCTTTAAAGAATTAAGAAAATGCTGGTAGTTCACTTAATGTTTGAGTCTGAATCTTTTTTTCTAACCCTGTTTAGAGTTAAATAATGTTAAAGGAAACTAAGAGTTAAATAATGTTAAAGGAAACTAAGAGTTAAATAATGTTAAAGGAAACTAAGAGTTAAATAATGTTAAAGGAAACTAAGAGTTAAATAATGTTAAAGGAAACTAAGAGTTAAATAATGTTAAAGGAAACTAAGAGTTAAATAATGTTAAAGGAAACTAGCCACTCTGGTCCTGGACCCAAGTCTCATTCTGTCAGAAAGGACATCCATCATAAAACACTTCTTCCAAACATGAGTTCTTCAGAGTACACCATACTGGACCAGTTGAGGCTCAGGTTACCTACAAAAAAATAAAATAATAATAATAACAATACAAAATAAATGTCCAAGCACATGTCAGGTTCTAAAGCTGCCTCATCTGACAGAGAATCAGAGGCAGCAGAAGGAGGTTTGGTGTGAATTTAATCTCTAATTAAAATAATTGTTTCTATAAGAACTTAATGAAGTCATCACTACGTAGAGTAATCAGCCCATGGGCCAGGACGGGTCATCATGCCCTCCACCCACTGCTAAACTTCTCTTGTATTTTCAGGCACCCTAGGCTCCACTCTTTCAGAAAAAGCATGTTAGAAAAGTTTGGTGTCACTGCCCCCCAGGGACCACTTTGTGACCACACCCCTTTTTCAYTGTGACCATCAAAGTTCGGGGCACAGGAAACTGAAATGCCAATAACTTTGCTATAACTTTTATAAACAAGGTTTCAACAGATTTGTATTTATGAGTTCTTAGATTTTAATGACATTTCATTAAACAATTCTGCACATGATGATGATGATGTCAGGGCAGAGCCGGCTCTTGGCATAGGCGAACTAGGCGGTCGCCTAGAGCACCATCTGCTGGAGRGGCGCTGAACTGCAGAAGAAAACAGTAATTATTTGTAATCCCTGGTTGTAACTCTGCTCAGCGTCTCTTTCAATTAGCTTTGTCTTAAAAAACTGTAATGAAGTGTTACAGTACCTAGGGCACCGAAATGGCTAGAGCCAGCTCTGTGTCAGGGGCTCAAAAGGTCACAACCCAGGAGAAGATAAAAATCACCACATTTTATCTGAGTTTATTATACAGATCCCAACTATTTTATGTACCTTATTCAGAAAAAAAAGCCAGTTAACAAAATAAAAGCTGGTAGGAACCAGTTTGTGACCACCCCTTTACTTATTTGCGCGGTTAAGAATTTTAGCATGTAGATTTCTTCACTGTGAAAAAAATAAAATGTCATAAATCTGGTGTTAAAGGATGGATATTGACTTGATCTCTCTCAGATGTGCTTTTGTTGATTATTTATGCAACAGATCGTGTTACCAGTTAAACACCCATAAGACCACTGGTAAACTGTCTTTGTGCCGATAAAGTTTGTGTTTTTATTTAAGAAACCTGCAGAGAGATGATCCCATCACCAGACCAGGATTCTGCCTTACCGTTTCTRTCATTGCCTTGCTCAGAGGTTCAGGCAGTGTGTGTCTGTTCCTCCTCACTGCCTTCATGTGTTTTCTGAACGGCCGAGGTGACGGTATGGTATAGAGGACTGAACCTTTCATGATAGGAAATAAATATATAAATGACTTATTAAAATAAATTACGGGGCCAAATAGAAGTTTGACAAACAGATTATTGTGCCATTAAATCAATTAGATCAATTATTTAGGTATAAATGTGTAATTTATTTTATTTTGAAGGATTATAATTTATCTGTGCTTTATTGCATATATTTTTTATTTAAATCGATGGTTTTTAGTCATCCTTTTTATTATTCAATGCTATATTCTTCTTTTGTTTATTTATTACAAGTAAATTTGTTGTAATTTGACTTTTCCAAGTCAGTTTTTTTCTTTCACATTTATTACTAATCACATATATTTAAAACATGTTTTTTACCTAATAATTACGGAGCCCGCGAGGG